GTGAGGGGGAGGGGGGAGGGGAGGGGAGGAAATTTTAGTGAAGGAAAAAAAATAAAAGGGAGAGGTAAAATGGGTTAGGGGCGCTGAGGTGACAAGTCATGTGGCATCCACCTCATCAAATGTCAGTGCCACATATGATTGGATGTCTACTTTGGACCAACTTAACGGAAAAGAGGTATATTTAAATCAATAGTATAACTACAGGGATATATTTAGATTTAAAATATAACGAGTGGTACATTTAAATATTTTCTGATAGTACATGGGTATACCCTTTTCTGAAAACTTTACTATACGCCTCACATAACTCACATAAGTTGTGTGTGGCTTTATTTTGTCTCACAACAAAGTGGACTCAAATTTTACAGATTTGGGTCCACAAAACTTTGGGCCCATTTTGTTGTGAAATAAAATAAGAGAAATTTTCACAAACCACTATTGTTTAGTGGTTATTAGCTAATTGTAGCTACCATTTACTATATTACTTCATATAGCTACATTTTCAGTGTTTTTAGAGTGTATTCGATGTATTTAAGCTACTGTATTCATGAATACATAGCAAAACTCGGCGTGAAATATGGGATTCCAGCTAGACAATTATTGTATTCGACTGTATCCACGATATGTATTTGTGAATATAGTAACGTAAATAGCGCAAATCGTGGTCTATTCAACTGTTTTAAACGGAAAGTGAATTAATTAACACAATAGACTCCTAATATAACTCAGCTAACTCAATTGCATAACCCATAATCTGTATTTGACGTGAAATATGCTGAACAATTTTCCCAGCCGATAAATACAACAAAACAGAGCAATCACCGAGTTTCTAATCCTTCCCTTTTATGTTGATATCGTTCGTGGATGTTTCTGTTTTCAACCATTAAAATTCGAGATTCATCTATAGTGCAAAAACATATGAATACATATAGCAGATACATTTGAATACATATATACAACTGAATACATAAATTATATTAATTAAAAAATATATATAAATATATTCATGGAATAAAGCGAGATAGTGAATACAATGAAATATATGAAATACAACGAGATACATTGAAATACAATGAAAAAAGACAATGAATACAATGAAATATATGGAAATACATCGAGATATATTGAAATACAATTAAAGAAAAGGTAATAGAATCTTCAAGTTACTCAGCCCAAACTCCGTCGTCTTTGTTCAAGAACAACCCTAATGTCGTCTCTTCGAGAGGGCTGCGATTCTGACTCGAAACGTCACTGTTCCCGTTTCGATCAAGAACCCTAGGTGAGGAAACGTTTGTTAGGTTGGGTTTTTATGATATGGGAGAGGTAGTGGCAGATAAATGACGTGAAGAGGAAGAGGAATTATTTCACGAGGTTGTATTTTCCAATCCTGCTTCACTAGGCAGGAATTTCTGGAACCAACTTGCTATTGAATTTCCTTCACGGAGCAGGAGAGAACTCGTTAGCTATTATACAAAGCGTTGAGAGAGAGAGAGAGAGAGAGAGAGAGAGAGAGACGGTGGAGAAAAATCTGAAAGAATGAGAGAGAAAAATAATACAAAGCGTATTTTATGGCTTAAGGGTAGGAGATGACCATAAATAGATATTTGGCTATAAAAATTAAAATGTAGCTATAGAATATAATTTTTTAAAAGGGTATTTATTTAAAATAAATAATGTATCAACCTTTGCTATAGGAGGTAAAAATTCTATAAAACAAAGCTTCGGCATAAAATAAATTTTTTTCATATGCTCAATAGTACTCTCTCCTGCCTCTATCCCAAAAAGAATGCTAATATTTTATGGATTTCGAGGTCACACTTCTTAATTTTAATCATGAGTTAATGTATAAAATCTTTAAATTTTTTAAATAAAATTTATATATTTAGAAACTACATAAAAATATTATAAATCATAATAATTAAAACTCAAAACATTTAAAAGGTACATGAAAAAGCTGTGGTCAAAGAAAAGTATCATCTATTTTTGGACTGAGAAAACAATAATTAGTTAAAGAAGATAATTAGTGATGTATTCAGATTAAAATCAAAACTGCATCACGTTCTTAACTTGTATGAGCATCAGATTTCAGATGCATACAAATATAGACGTTAGATTTAGCACATTATATAATCTTGAATGGAGAATTAACAAATGCCAAATGGGTTCAACCCCATGTGATTAAAACAGACATGCCTTCTTTTTATTATATTAAAAAAAAAACGATCGGATCTGACACTGATCATATGCTCATCTTATTGGAGTTATGTAAGCTGAACTTGGGCAGCGAACTTTTATAGTTGCTCGTGCTTATGAACTTATAATCACAAGATAATTTCTAGAAATTCCTTTAACAACCTACCTATTATTATCTTGCAGTACCTTGTATTACTACTACACATCAATCTCAAATTATTTGATACAGACATATAAATTCTAGTAAAAGCTTACTCCATTAGGTGTTCACATCAATAGAATATATATACGCACGAACATAATTATCACAAAGTTATATTTATCACCTTTGACTTAACTATGAGGTATTAATTAGGTTTGATGCGCGGTGCGAGTAAAATATTACTTGAATTCTCTATATCCATAAACATGATCTATCTGGGTCGATGTCATTCCGATAATTAATAAGTTGTGTTTTGTGACAAATTCAAGATTTCTAAAACCATAAATTCTCTAAAAATCAGACTTATCCCTATGCTTACATACAAATGCAAATAGGGTCAGATGAAAATTGGGAAATAATAGGAAAAATGACACTCTGTATAGCTACTCTCAAAATAGTAGTCGAAAAAGTATATATATATATATATATA